TGGATCCTTGTTTGGGAGCTATTTGCAGACTCCCCCCGTGATGGAGGAGCATGGTGAATGAATGCCTGTATCCAGGTTGCATTTGATAAAGACTAAGCCATGTTCTGTGCAGCCTGGTTTAGAGGTCTGTTACAGAACCTGGTTTGACTCCTGTTCAATCTTGCCTGTTCTGCCCACCAGCTAAGGACTGCTTGTGAAAGTAGAGTGGCTGCAGGGACTATTAGCCCCTTTGTTAATAAACGTACATTCTGCAGAGCTCCTGTTTGTGGCAGGCTGTTTCTGGAGGAAGGGTACCCAGAGGACAAGGTTTGCCCTGCTCTGACATTAGTGAATAGGCCTCCAGGACCCTTTCAAGCCATCTGTCCCCCAAATCGGTCATGCTTTAGGAGGTAATGGCCCAAGAAGAGAGTAGTTGCAAGAAACCAGGAGCCTAGAGCTCTTATATACTGTTAGAGAAATGAAGTGGTATAAATCCATTGGAGAGGCAATACACGCTGCTCCAGCCAACAGAAACGCCTGGAAGAAGGAGTACCTCCCTGGTGAACAAGGGAGCAATGAATGTGCCAGTCGCTTCAGCATGTGAGGCAGGACACAGCTCTTGGGTGTCCCCAGAAAGCGAAGCGTTCCCCTTTGACTTTTCCTTTGTTCAGCCACTGTCCTGCTGGTTTCATCCAGGCGCTGCGGAGGCAATCACTTGCCTCTCCGCAATAATCCCTTGCTCCTTCTCTCCCTGCCTCAGCTGCTCCAGAGCAGCGCAGATCCCTCGACTGTCATCACAGATCAGGGGATGCTGCCTGTGCCAGACGAAGTGCAGAGGAGTAAAGGCCAAACGCTGCCCTCAGAGCTATTCCCAGCACTCCCATCGACGGCAGTGCACGCTGTGTGTTTGTATGGGAGGCAGGATTAACTGAACGCTAAGGCGCTATCTTCATGAAAATAAAAAGCATCCATGCTTTCAGGCCGTTATGTGATCTGGTTCTCCCTCTTGCTTTTAGATGAGTATAAAGGAGAAGCTGCTTGAGGTTTATTAACTAATAACCAAGGAAACCTGTTTTGAGTGTCAAAATCTCATGAGGCATCTCTTCTTCTACAGAAGCTAATCTAGTATTTTGCTCAGCAGAGATGGAACAAGCATTTAACCCAGCTAATCAGGACCATCTCTTGGCATATTTTTAGGCTTTCAGCTTGATAATAAGGTGCTGCTGCTCGGGACTTTGCATCCTGTTAGTCTGCTTTAATAACTCACTGCCAATATCTCGGCAAAAAGATTCTAGGCAGGGGGATGCTCTCCCTCGCATCGTCTTTGCATTCCAGACCCTGCCTCTGCTTCTTCTCCGGGGAGTTGCTAATCTCGCAGTGGTTTACTTTGTGCGTTTTGGTCCATATGTGACAACTGTGTGTCTGATCACCACAATCTCGCACAGTTATT